GTCACCAGCCACTGGTGTCACCAGCCATTGGTGTGACCAGCGCCGCCCGTCCCCGCCCGCGCAGGTCTCACCTCGGCCACGCGGCCCCGGGCCAGCACGGCGATGAGGTGCGCGCCGCGGATGGTGCTGAGGCGGTGCGCGATCAGCAGCACGGTGCGGCCGCGGGCCGCCCGCTCCAGCGCCGCCTGCACCGCCCGCTCCGCCTGCGCGTCCAGCGCGCTCGTGGCCTCGTCCAGGATGAGCACGGCCGGGTCCTTGAGCAGCGCCCGGGCGATGGCGATGCGCTGCTTCTGCCCCCCGGACAGCGCCGTGCCGCGCTCGCCTGCAGGCAACGCGGGGACACCGCGGGGACACCGTGGGGATGCTGTGCTGCACCGTCCCAGGGCACCCCCAGAACGTCCGTGCCATCGGCCCGGGGACACCGCCCCGGCCCGCAGCCCATCCCTCCTGCCCAGAGCCCAGCGCGGCCACAGCTCGCTGTGCACAGCTGGACATCAGCGGTGACACAGCCGCTGTCCCTGCAGCACCGGGATGGCCTCGGCTGGGCTCCCGCGCTCGCCTGACCCCTCCCGCCCCGGCCATACCCACGATGGTGTCGTAGCCCTCGGGGAAGCTGCGGATGAAGCCGTCAGCGTCGGCGAGCCGGGCGGCCTCGTACACCTCGGCATCAGAGGCTCCCGGCTTCCCGAAGCGGATGTTCTCCATGATGGTTGTGCCAAACAGCACCGGCTCCTGCAGCAAGGCCCCGGCCCTCAGCACCGAGCCCAGCCCAGCCCCACCTCCCTCCCCTTCCCCAGGAACAGCCGGGGGTCCTGTCCCCACCTGGCTGATGAAGCCGATGACCTGGCCCCGCAGCCACGAGGGGTCCAGGCTGGCGATGTCGTGCCCGTCCAGGGTGATGGTTCCTGCTGTGGGCTCATAGAACCGCTCCAGCAGCGCTGCCACCGTGGACTTCCCTGGGGAGGAGACCCCTGAGCCCCCCTGCTCTGGACCCCTGGCTCCAGCAGCACTGGGGGTCCCCAGTCCCTGACATACACTGGGCACACTGGGCAGAGGACTGGGGCGCAGGAGGATGCGCCCAGGGAGAGGCTGGGGGGTACTGGT